AATCACAAAAATAAATTAAAAAACACAATGTTTTAAAGTTTCTTGACCTTCTTATGTATTCATCAAATGTACAATTATTGAATTTGCAGTATTTCTGTGAAAATCCAAATGAAAAAATGTTATTTGAGAGACAGACGGAATAAAAATAATATTTTAAGTACTTTAGTAGCAACTGCTCATAAATTTCAAACGATTATATGAGTTGAATGCCTTATAAATAAAACAATAGTTATGTTCGTCTATTAAATACCTGAAATATTTTACGTTACGAATGCAATAAGAAGTTTTATTACTACATAATTTGGGAACAAATAAAGATTTATTAAGATCTTGTTTTGTTGAGTTGTAAAATTTACGAGTCTAGACTATCCATAATTTTGATGTATATACTCGTATATACGTATAATCTGCTAAAATATTTAATTTATTTCGTGCTCTATCTTTAAATGCCACCCCATACGTATATATTAATTTAAGAGTAACAGTTTTATGTTTTAATAACAATTTTACATTTAAAAACATTATTACGAAAGTTACGGTTACATTTTTGTATAAAATAATATTTTAACAATTGATTTTCTACTGTTTTTTTTGGCGAAATATATTTGATGTACGCTATTTTAGAGAATTTTAAAAATGCTTTGTATTTTTAACATCTAAATAAATACGAAATCAGTTGACTTCTTCAAAGCGGCAACCCATCTCTCCTTCTCCTTCTTGTGGTTTATTTTGGTTTCTTCTAACGTAACCGAAATTATCCCCTTACAATACGACCCCCCATATACAATATCTATACGGGATATTCTCAATAAAATCTCTATTCCTATCGGGATTTACAGACAGCACGTGCTCACAAGAACGGGTGACGGGTGTCATATGCAGTGCTGATAAATCATACAAAATGGCAGGATAGGATTCAGACAATAGGAATATAAATAAAAAAAAAAGAGGAAACAATTTTAGATATATATTTTCCATGTACACAGTAGTCTTTTATTTACGTCGTCTCAAATATATATTTATTAGTTTTTCGTGTTGTTGCTTCCAGACGTGGATCTTTTATTTAGGTTTTAAGTGCTTCCGCCTTCATATTATCCTTTCGAGGGGGAATGGGGAATTTTTTTAGCACAGAAGTATTATACAAATCGTAGAAATAAGAATGATCACTTTCTAGAATGTATTTTAGAGACATAGGTCGTATTTTTTGTTTGCTATTTGTAGTATTTTCTATCGTCCGGTTTTGCTACTTCCGGTGTAGGATGTTGGCTACGTAACTGGATATTTACGTTTCTCAATGAATCCCGGATATAGCTTAAACGAGGTTTTTCTGAATTAAAGATGATATTGCAAGCATTTTTTGTGTAGACGAAATGGTTGATATAAAAAAATACTTAAATTTATGGCTAATGGACACGATTCGACTGACTCGGGTATAATAGTTGATTTAAATAATTTAATTGGGTCAGATATAACGAGTAGTTTACTGGACTTGTAGACTGTGGTTCAAATTCCCCAAAAAATTTCCTAATTTATACATATTAAGAGCTGGCAAAACAAAATTGGTCCCAAATTAGAGCCCTGTGGCACGCCGCAGGCAATATTTTTAATATCAGATCTACCGGACTTGTCTCAACAAACTGAGAACGATCGGAAAGACAATTTTTGATAAATTTAGTTGCTTTAACCGAAAAACCAACATATTGAAGAATACTGAACAGAAGATGGTGATTAATTTAGGTTTTCAGGTAACTTAGATTTTACAGGTTTAGAATTTATATTTAAATTCTTAAGTTTTTGCCACATAATACGATTGTTTCTACTAAATATATCAACGCAATATTTTAGATAATCTTTGCGGTGACTTTAATTTAGATTATTTAACTTTATCAGATGAGAAAAAGATGTTGAATTATTTTTTCACCTTATTTGGTATTAAACTAAGCCTACCCAATGAGCCAATACGTATTTTTAAAACTAAAAGCAGTACATCAAGTACCAAAATTGATTATATAGCTTTGCCTCATATTATTAGAGAGTGTTATATCACACACAATGTAAATTTTATTTATTAATGTTGACGTGTATATCCATCTATGATGGCAGAATTGGCTAGTACTAATATAGATATTATTATTATATATTTATGTTAGTTATCAATGAAGAAGATGTAAAACAAATCCTCTCTAGTATTTGACAATTTTTTTACAGCAGATTTGTTATAATTCTTGATTTGGAAGTACAACATTTTTATTAACCTTTTAAAAGACTTATACCACTCTCTATAATAACCACTTTCACATAATTCAACCGACAAAACAGTATCTTTAAATTTAAAGTTATGTTTAAAAATTTATGACACATCTAGTTTCTAAATTTAATAAATCTTTTATGTATTTTTGAGGTTCCCTAGGTTTGCTCTAATCATACTTATTTCAACTTCTGTAACTCCAGTTTACGATTATATCCACATAACCAGAGAAGTGTTATGTTGCTCACTGATCGTAACTTCCAAACGTTCACAGACTTGAATAACTGTAATGGGTAATAAAGAAAAAAACACAGAAATTGTATTATGTCTGTTATTTTAATGTTGTTATACAATGGGGTGTCCAAATTTGACTTCCCTATTCAATTTAATAATATTTATTAAACATACAAAACATTTTAAATGCATTTGATCAATTTCTCAAATTGTTTAAAGTAATATTACTCGAAGTTGTTAAGTTGTTTGAGGATTGTTAGCGTAAATTCTGAATAAATATTCAAACTGTAACAAATTAAAGCACAATAATAGCCCGAGTACTTGGGCAATAAATTACGGCAATTTCAAAACTTTAAAATGAATAATTCCACCACAAACAAAAGGTAAACAAAACTGTTGAACACCGTTGAGGGTGAGGTATTCATAACGAGATACATATTCAATTACTAAAAGGGTAAATACCCCTCAGCAATCCTTAGATAATATATGCGCGTTTGCAGTTAAGTCAGTGGCGTGCTTTCCGTTTTGATTTATTGGATTTTAAGGCTGCGATTACAGCAATAATGCGGGCAAAAATATCAACCACCGCGAAGAGAGTTATTGAAAAAATATAAAACGATTTTCTTTATTTTTAAAGGAGCTCTAAATAAAGCAGAGTTTGAGCTTCACTATGAACAATTTTCGTTATTATGCAGTGCTAAATAAGTGATTAAATGATTTTTTTTTAAATTAATAGTAAACTTGTATTTTATCAAAGAACCATGTACTTTTTATACGATTATAAATTTTTAATTTAGCAAAAAATACTCTTGAAATTTTTATTAGTATATTTGACCAACAACGCTCTACCCTAGAGAGCTCTCTTTAATTGAAGAATTTTGATATAGGTTAAAATGAAAACGGTGTTGCACAAATTTGCTTCTAAACAAAAGTCTGCATATATTTAGATAATTTGTAACAACTCAATATTTCAAATTCTTATACAGGGTGATTCAAAACTGAGTGCAAAGATTTTAAGGCTGTATTAACCAGCCAAAAATAAGAAATTTTTTTAATATAATCGTATGTCCTAACTTGCTTCGTTTTCTAGATACAGAGTGTCAAAGTTTTTTTAAAACAAACTTTAACAATTATTAATTAAATAAAATCACACTTTGAGACGCCACTGGAATAAATAGTGATTAAAATTTCATACCACAAATAAAAATTAAGGCACACCTATTTGGCGACAATCTCTATCATTTAGTAATTAATTTTTTACTTGTTTTAATGGAACCAGGCACAGATTTTCATTTTTTTCTTGGAAACAAAACTCAAGAGGCAAGAAACTTACATTATTAACCGCTTAATCTAAAGAAAATGTTTAATTGTCAAAAAAGCAATGCTGTACCATAATTTTACATATAAGTATCAAGTTGGTAGCCCTGAGACGCCACTGGAATTAATAAATTTATTTTATACTCACCAAAGTAAGGCCCTTTTGATAAAAAATAAGCCTACCAAATTTTATTTGAATCGGCTAAAAGGTTTTTGAGTAATTGATAAACAACCAATTTTTTTAAAAAACTTTGACATCCTGTATCTAGAAAACGAAGCAAATTAGGACATACGATTATATAAAAAAAATTTCTTATTTTTGGCTGGTACATACGCCCTTAAAATATTTGCACTCAATTTTGAATCAGACTGTCAAATTTTGAATAGATTGTGTATTTGACAAGATCTTGGTAAATCAAATGTCAAAAAATATTTTAAGACTTTTTTAATTTTGATTTAAATATTTTAACACCTTGCATCTCAAAAACTAAGCTTTTTAAGGGTTCATGTTCCTGTTTCAAAATGATCACTTAACAAGAGCTCTCTATTGTAAAGCCTGGACGGTTTATTATGTATACTAACACCCTATATATTTGGTAGTAGGTAGTATAGTATTAATTGTATCTTTCTGGGGTATTTTTTTGTTATTTTAAAATGAATTTGGACGTGTAAATAATAAAATTCTCTAATTCGAAATAAAATAAATGTAAAGTCTTAATATTTTTTAGTATATTGGTATGCATTTCACTATAGTGTCATTTGCTGTCAAAATTTCCTAGTTTATAGTGATCTACAGCGATCTAGTAACTCTGAATTCATTTTGACCTTCCACTATCTTCTTATTTAGCTTTCACGTTCTTATAAGAATACCATTTTTATTAAGAAAGTGAAAATTAAGTCAATATTTTTCATATTCCTCGAAAATTTTTAATATCTCCCGTTTCCAAGCGAAACCGAATCAAACCTCTATAACTACGACACTGTTTTACCATTTCGTTTGCGTTCAGTCCTCCTAGCGACATCTGACCGGCGTCAGTTGAAACCTAAGCGCTCATCGTTTTTCACTAGAGGGCACTAGCAATTCCTTTGATCGTGGAAATATCAAAGGATCGTTTGTACACGTTGGAAAAACATTTTCTTTAAATAACGAATACGAAATGTATCATAACAGAACGATTAATTGTTGTTTTTTTTGTTTCAGCTTTCCGAGTTGGAACAAAGAGTTTTGGAGGCAGAGGGCAGGGCGGAAGAAGCCGAGGACAAGGTAAGAGACGAATGCTGTGTTGCCGTTTTATTTGGGTAGAAAATAGAAAACTACTATTTGTTTGAAGAATGTACAAAAAGTTACAGGTTACAACTTAGAGATTAATGGATTTTTTCTTTTCAGGGACGTCTTAATTTTTTTTATTATATTAAATCTTTTTATGTCTTAATTTTTGACATATGTCAAAATTAATTTAATCTTAATCTTAATTTTATTAAAATTCTATGAAGTCATTTCAATTACGACTATTTAAAATTTTTCCTATATCTGCCGATAGAGACAGATGGTGAGTATCTGCCTTTTACGCCAGCCTCAGCTGTGGACATTTAAATTAAATTTTTTTAATTTATTTTATTTTAAAAATTATTAAAAGTCATAAATTATTTTAAAATTAGTTATTTTGTCTTAATAATCTAAAATATTTTTTTACTTGAAAATTTTCGTTGGTGGGTCGTAGAAAAAATATACTATACAACTCGAGTGGATTCTTCACATCCACGCTTGTTGTACAATAGTAGTTTGTGCAACAAGAGTGGATATAATGGCCATATCGCACGAAGACGAAATTTAAGCACGACGTCGTAGGCGGAGTGGTCAATCGTCTGAGTGCGATATGGAAAATCCACTCGAGTTGCACAGTATATTTTTTCTACGATCCACTAACGAAAATTTACAAATAAAAAAAAACTATTTTAGGTTATTAAGATAGAATAACTAATTTTAAAATAATTTATGACTTTTAATAATTTTTAAAATAAAATAAATGAAAAAAAGTTGATTTAATTTTTCTCCATCCAAGAACGCTAACCACAGGACCACCTATTCTTTTATTTTGTTGCTTTAATACTCGTAATTAAATTGACTTCATATAGCTTTATTTAAATTATCGAATTATTTATAATGATATATAATTATAGACGAAATAAAAACAGAAATGCTATTATTTATCGATTCTACACAAGAATAACCCATTTTAATTTATGTTTAATCCCAATAACTAAAAAATATACTGACAGAATTGTCACTTATTTAACATTTTAAAAATAACAGTTAGTTGATCAAAATATGAACGGTGATTGGTGGATTTCAGTTTTTTGCAGTTTTCTTACTACCTAGAATGGATATGAAATATATTCGTTCAGTTGAATATAATGGCATACCCAGACAGCACACCAAATCCTTTGGATATCTACTGGACATCCCAATATCCACTGAATGTCCAGTCCATGGTGGATATCTATTTTATATCCAAGGCAATAGCATACTTTTTCGTTTTGTAATCTGTCTGTAAATAAGCTAATATCCATGTGGGTGTAGTAGCACTGATAATGTCTACACATTGATATTTGACAAATTGGCAACAGTAAACTTCAAACATCATCACTACCTTTTTTGGCGATGGTTCCTGGGTATACATAAAAGACACTTCTTGAGTCAGAGAGTACGTAAACGTTGAACAAATAATTGGACAATTGTTTCTTGTAGTATACATCATTAGTAGGAATTTTGGGGATAAGAAAATGTTTACCGAAGTCTATACAGATTGACCCTTTTACGTTTGATTTACAACTTAAAAGCTTTGATTGCTTTTTAATTGAATAAAATGATTTTGCTTTACATAAATACAGTTCATGTGATGTGGTCAGTTGTTTTATTTCAGCTGTTGTCTTCCTTCTTTGTTTAATCTAGTTTTTGGTTTTCATGCTCCAGACATTTCATTTTAGCTAGGTAGGTACTCGTCACATGTGCTGCACATGTCTGTCCGTGGGTAACCAAAAGCTATATTAAAATCTGTGGTGAAAATGGTTCTGTAGGTCTCGTGATTGCCGGGATGCATCTTTTTAAACATTTCCCACATTTTTTGTTGTTGAGCTCTTCAGGCAAATAGTTTTTTATACAACTGCTATGAAAAGTAGCGTATTTCTCATAGCTTACTTAATTTCAAAACAATGTATTGCTCATACTGTGAGAAATATTTTTTCTCACGGCATTTTGCCTACAGCACATACATTTATATAGAGAATCAACAAAAATCGACAAGTAATGTCCACAGTAATGTCCACATTAATGTTCACAGTAATGTCTACAGTAATGTCTAAAATAATGTCCACAGTAATGTCTACGGTAATGTCTAGAGTAATGTCTAGAGTAATATATACGGTAATGTCCACAGTAATGTCTATAAAAATGTCTACAATAATGTAATGTTTACAGTATTGACCACTGTAGTGACTACGGTAATGTGCACAGTAATGTCTACAGTATTATCCACAGTAATATCTACAGTAACCTTAATGTCTACAGTATTAACTACAGTAATGACTACGGTAATGTGCACAGTAATGTCTACAGTATTATCCACAGTAATATCTACAGTAACCTTAATGTCTACAGTATTGACTACAGTAATGACTACGGTAATGTGCACAGTAATGTCTACAGTATTATCCACAGTAATATCTACAGTAACCTTAATGTCTACAGTATTGACTACAGTAATGACTACGGTAATGTGCACAGTAATGTCTACAGTATTATCCACAAGGCGCATCTTTAAATTTTAATTACCAAATGTCGATACCTTCTTTAAACTATATTTATACTTTCAAATTCCTGACAAAACAACCTCTATAATATTATTTATGATGTCTAATAATACAGCAAAAATAATACTACGAAAATATTACCCATACTTTAATTTCAGAATGACAAAGTCAACTAGGTAGCCTCTGAACAGTTTTGACCCTAATTTCTTCAAACTACAAATACTACACTTGCATTATTTCATTAGTCACCATTTTGTTTTTGGAAAAACCCATAATTAAACCTCCAGAATACAAATTTATTCTTATTTTACCCAAAATTTTAATAAAGGAACTTTTGGTTTTTTGTATGCCTCATTAAAAACATTTCAGAATCATCTTTTTCCATCCTCGTCGATAAATAAAAGAAAATAAAGTATAATCTCTCGCATTTACAAAAGCCACCCCTGTGCAACAGACAAAGAGCACGGAGTTGAGGGGTTGCCACGCAACCGTTCTAACTTTCGCTATCGTGCGTTTATTGATTATTTTCCGTCTCGACGCTGCTGGCGGTCATGGCGTCTTTCAGCTGACAGAAAAACAAGAGAAGCGCGATCGGTTTTTGTTTGTACTTTTGTGTTGTTTTTGTCAATTTTGTTAATATCGTGAATGTGAACCAAAAAATTGCCTGGTTTGTTGTTTCGAGCGGCCGATCCTCTGGAAAATGTGAGTTTTTTGAATCCATTCGTAACTTAACCAGCACAGATTTGTTTTTTTTTACCAAAGCATGAGGTTTTTTTTTGCAAATTTTGTTCATATTTTACTCTGCTGTATCCCTGACTCACCACTTTTGGTGATAATACTGATTAATACGATAAAAATGGATGGTAATTAGTGGTTTTGTTCAGGGGGAGAAATTGTCTTATTAAAAATTTAAAACTTTCGACCTTTGTGCAGATAAAGCCTTTCTGTTGAAGTTGAGTATGATTATTTTGTTCTACAGTAAAGTTATGAAATTCTGCAGCTTGCCTCATTGTTTCTGCTATGTTTGAAAAATCTTTTACACAATATTCTTGGTTACAGAATTTTTTATGAAGAAAATACAGATATATTTTAAATAACTCTTAAACCTCTAAAAATGCTTTCTTTAAAATATAGTACACAAAAAATCTTCTTACTGGAACCTTAAGAATTCCAATATAACTATAACTAACAGCATATTTTTTATTATATTGTTAAATATTTTTATTTATTTTGTGGAAAATTAGAAACAGAAGTGTAAAACAAACAAAAATAATTGCAATGTTTTTGATTCCCTTTTTAACCCTGATCTATCTGTGACTTACTATGAGCAGTGTTGTTTTACTTATTCGGTACACCAAAAAGGGTATAATACTCATATATACCTGTTATAAATCACTAAAATTAATAATGTAAATAAAAAAATTATTTTCATGAAGCACATCTTGACATACCCTGTAGTAAAAACAAAACCAAAGGTCAATTTACTTAGTAAATACCGGTAAATTGTTCTTCTACTTAACCTGAAATAAAATTAAACTTATAATATAATAATATGATTTATTCTCAAAAATATAAATACATGTTTAATAATAATAATAATAATAATAATAATAATAATAATAATAATAATAATAATAATAATAATAATAATAATAATATTATGTTAAACTTGTTTCGAGAATATTTTTAGCAAAAGGTGGATGTAATTGTGTGGTAGATAAAAATAAATGAGAGAAAAAAATAAAAGCAGCTACAAGCGTTTGACAATACTTGACATTTACATCATAATCATCACAACTAAAAACAAAACAAATATTATACAGGAACACTCAAAATTCTTGTTCATTCTTCAATAAATATAATAAATCGCACTCTTGCTTCAAAAGCGACACAATTCAAAATTCTTTTTTTTTGTGAGTTAATACCATGAATGTTAATAATAAACAATTCTACATCAATCATCAAAATGGTTTTAACTTAGAGAAAAGACTCGTCTGGATGGCGCCTTTGTTATTTTTGAGGTTTTAATGTAGCGTGTTTACTAATCCCATTCATATCCTAATCCCAAAAGAAATGAATTTTGAGTTGTGTCACTTTTGAAACAAGGGTGCGAAATGTAAATGAAGAAATACCTACTATAATTTCTTAATATATATTTTTTTTCACATGATATGAATTAAAATACATTGCAATTACCATTTTCATATATGTAATTTTTGTTTATTTTTTAAATATAACAATAACAATACACAATAACTGGCATCATTAACATCCAAATTTAAAAATAAGTAAATAAAATATGTTTTTATGTTAGCCTAATTATAGGATCTCGATTACATGATGGATTAAGTCACGGTGTTGTTGAACATAAAGTTTTTTTTGAACTGTTTTAGGTAGAGAATTGATTTTAAATCGAGTGGTAGTGAATTGTAAATTTTTGGTCCCATATATGAG